TGGTTTGTAAATGGTTAGTAGGTGGTTTATAATTGGTTTGTGAGTGGTTTTTAATTGATTTTTAAGTGGTTTGGAATTGGTTTGTAAGTGGTTTGTAGTTGGTTTGGAATTGGTTTGCAAGTGGTTTCTAAGTGTTTGTAATTGGTTTGTAATTGGTTTGCAAGTGGTTTGTGAGTGGTTTGTAATTGGTTTGTAACGGTTTGTAAGTGGTTTGGAATTGGTTTGTAAGTGGTTTGTAGTTGGTTTGGAATTGGTTTGTAAGTGGTTTGGAATTGGTTTGTGAGTGGTTTGTAATTTGTTAGATGGTTTGTAATTGGTTTGTAAGTGGTTTGTAATTGGTTTGTAAGTGGTTTGGAATTGGTTTGTAAGTGGTTTGTAGTTGGTTTGTAATTGGTTTGTAAGTGGTTGGAATTGGTTTGTGAGTGGTTTGTAATTGGTTTGTAAGGTGGTTTGTAATTGGTTTGTGAGTGGTTTGTATTTGTTTGTAAGATGGTTTGTAATTGGTTTGTAGGTGGTTTGTAATTGGTTTGTAATGGTTTGTAAGTGGTTTGTGAGTGGTTTGTAATTGGTTTGTAGATGGTTTGTAATTGGTTTGGAATTGGTTTGTAATTGGTTTGTAAGTGGTTTGGAATTGGTTTGTAAGTGGTTTGTAGTTGGTTTGGAATTGGTTTGTAAGTGGTTTGCAGTTGGTTTGGAATTGGTTTGTAAGTGTTTGTAATTGGTTTGTAAGTGGTTTGTAACTGGTAACTAGAGCAACGACATGTTTATTGTTGCTTTGTAAAAGTATTGTTGCAAGGACATATTAAAGCTCTAAAAGAATTTGATTCCCCGGTCTCTGTCTTTATCTCTCTTCTAAAATTTAAAAGAATGTACTAAAAGGTTATGTTTGAACTGACTTCGGTTTTTCTATTTACGATCAAAAATTATATGTTGTGTTCATCGATTTTGATTTTTTAGTTTTATCTAATAAGTTTAATAGTCACTTCCAGATTATTTTTCAAATTAATCACTTTGTAATCCGATAATGGTGTTTAATTCAGTCGATTAAAATTTGCTGAACAAATACGAGCTATTCCAAAGAGTTTCATATCATTTTATGCTAAGAATTTATTAATTTTAATTTAAACAAAAAAAGAAAAAACTTGTAATATGGTTCAAGGCAAATGATTCAGTGTCAAGGAGAAAGCAATTAACAACATTTTAAAGAAAATAGCCAGGTAAGGCATATTCCGGAAACAATTTCGGAAATTGTAGAGGATTCAATGTATATTATTGAACAACGGAGGAATACAACTCATAAAAGATTTCAGAAATATGAAAGATTTAGCAATTTCTTTTATCATGCATCATCAGCTACAATATCACTGACAGAGCGGAGAACCTAATTATCATAATCTTCCATCCAGCAAATTAATATTTCGTGCATGTTCTTTTATCATCATTAAATTGATTATTATCATCCTTCTTCATCGTCATCACCGTTATCATCAAATTAACAGCACTATCATTATTATCGTTAGAAGCCGTGAAGTCATCAAGCAATTATCAATATATTTGATATTAAATAATACTGCCTGATATAGCTAAAACTAACATTAACAATATGCCAAATAATAGGAAAATTGATTAAAAAAAAGTGTAAAAAAGAAAACCGAAATTAATTGAGGCAATATTTAATTATAATTAAATTAAATATATATATATAATGAAGTAAAAAAAGAAATGGACATATTCACAAGCATTTGTTCGGATAATTTTTAATATCAAAAGATTCATTTCCATTCTTTTTAATATCTATGACACGGTGGACATGGAATGAAACAACAGCAACAATCTGTATCAAAATGCTCTCCAATAAAACATCCACAACATAACGCAATTAATGCCATTAACCAACCGGAACATCCGGGATATCTTGGTCTTTCACTAAAATATATGAAAATAAAATCATTATGACTGAAAATTCAAAACTCTTGATATTGTTTATTAGTTATATCATTTTCATTAAATAGGCACCATTTGTTCGATTTTTATTATAATTAAATTTTTCTTCTGAATTTCTAGTAAAAAAAAAAATGCATAAGCAATTTTTATTTTTTACTTGGATTAATGAAAAATTATTCAAATTTAATGACTAATCAAAATTTTTATTTTTTGAAAAAATAAAAAACATTTTAATCCTTATGTTAAGATCAACAATATTTTACACTGTTACAAATGAAATAAAATTTACTGATAACATGGCTGTGGGCAATAATAGCCTGGGGCTGGCGAACACGGATAACACTGACCTGCCGGATACGGTCCATAAGGTTGACCGTGAAAAGTTTGCTACAAAAAATTGATTAAATTAAATAATGCACTGTAAATCTGGTAATACATTAAATATATATGCACATAGTAAGTGTTAAAAATTTTTAATTTTACTCTAAATCGCCTCTTTTGTTATTACTGTCCCAAAATTTCAATAGAATTAGAGTAACATTTTAAATTCAGATTTAAATTTCAAAAAAAAAAAAAAAATCAACAAACTAATGAAATGACTTTAAAGCACACATAAAAGTTGTGAGGTAAATTGCAATAACTTTTTCTTTTTTTTTTTTTTTTTTTTTTGAATAAACTGATTAAAAATAGAAATTATGGAATAAAGTATATCTTTTCTCCATAACTTATTTATTTACATTTTATTTATTTATTTTTTTACTTCTAAATTAGGAAAAAAATTAATACTTAATAAATTAATTAAAAAGCAAAAGTGATAAAATGATGCCATATATACTTATGAAGCTATTAGTGCAGAAAGTTTTATTTATCGGTTTTTTTTTTTTTTTGTTTACATGAAAAACAACTTTACCAATTAATTGTAATTGTAATAAATTGAATTAAAAATGAAAAATTATAAGAAAATGTGTGAAACTGCACAGCAATAAATTATAGAAATTTAATTAAATTTCTAATTCTTAAAAAAAAATGCAAAAATAAAACAAAATTTACCATTGTTAATTAAATAATGAAGCTTGAACAATAATAATAATAGCGGTAAAAAGCTATTACCAATATTACAAAAAGATGAAAGCTGTATGTGACAAAATTTGTCTCTCCTCTTTCTCTGTCCCTCTCTCTCTCATTCTCTCTCTCTCTCTTTCTTTGTCCTGTTTCTCTTCATGATTTGTCAGCCGGTTTTCAATAATTGATTTCAAAATCTTTAGTTAGACATAAAATCAATAAAACATTATTGAACTCGTGACATCTTCTACAATACCCTTCATGCTGAGTCATAACTCAGAAATTGATTCAAATTTTATGAATGAAATTTAAATTGTATAATTTAAATACTAAAAATATCAAAAATCATTTAATATAATCATTTTGCTAGCAAATTTTTCATTTCTTGTTTTTGTTTTTTTATTTTATGGTAATAATATTTTATTTACATATTGAAATTTAGATTAATTTTTGGCAAAATATTATTTAGCACGGTATTATTTATATAGTAGCCATTAATAACAATGATAAGTGATAATTACTCTTGATAAATAATTTCCTAAAATTTGTGTTAAATGTGATTGATTAGTTTGTAAAATTTATGAGAAATGATATGAATTTCTTTTATTTCAATAGTATCTGAAATCTTTATCATTTCTTTATGATAAGGATTTAAAGAAAAGATATAGTAAAGGTAACAAAAAAAAAAAATTTCACCTTAAGAATAATTTTTTAATAGTAACTATCAGTATTTTCTGTTCCTCTTCGTGATAAAAGGAAAAAAGTTTTGTAATGAAAATATTATTTATTATAAGTTTTTTATGATACGAGCAAAAAGAAAAAAAAACTATTAACAAAGTGATAAAAAGAAAAAAAAAATCCTTGTGATAAGGTGAAAAAAAATTGTTACGATAAGATTTTTATGATATGATAAAGGTAAACAAAGATGGAACAAATTGTGAGAAAAATTATGATAAGTTGCCGTTTTTGTTACTTTTAATTAATTGTAGAAAAGTTAAAAACAAAATTTTACCACCAAATTCAATTTAGTACATTAATAAATTATGGCAGTAAAGAGAGAAAGAAAGTTGGAAAACAAAATTATAATAAAAAATAATGATAAGAAACAAGAAAACATGCAAATAAGTATGTGTAAAAAAGAGGTGACAAAAAGGAAAAAAAAAATTTAAACCTTTAATTTACAACTTGAACAGAGTTAACCATAATAAATTTATATCATAATATGGGATTAAATTTAAATATATATTTCCCTACTGGAAATTAACATTTTGCAAAAAATATAAAATCATTTAGGCAATGAATAATTTAATTATATTTTGAAAAAAAAAATTAACTTTTGCTACTTTCATATGTTAAATAATAATGTTAAAAGTACTGTTTAGAGCATTTGATTAGCATTGTTTTTTTTTTTTTATAATTCTTGCAAATCTTTAAATAATTAAATTTAACAATAAATTTGAATAAATATTTCATTGTTTCACTTTTGGGGGAAAAAAAAAACTTTTGCATTTTAAATAATCGAAAATTTTATCACTTTCAAAAAAAAAGCAAAGAAAATCGAATACTTTGGAAAAAATTTTATAAAAACGAAACATAATAATTTCCTATTACTTTTTTTCACTCTTTTGCATAATTTTTTTTTAAATAATTATAGTAAAATGCATTTGAATATTTTGTACAGTTGCAAAAACATAATAAAATCTAACAAAATTAATTTCATCGATGTGAAATGCAAATATAAAATAAAATAATAAAAACGAAAAATTTTTGCAATAAAAACATCCATTTTTATTTACAAATGGAAAAAAAAAAAAGAAAAATCAAACATTTAAACTTTAGTTTACGTACATTATCGTTTGAAATTGTGTATTTTTTTTTATTGCAATTAATTCATTTAATCAATTATTGAATAATTTTTCTCTTTTCTATTATCAAAATAAAAAAAAAAATGAAAGAATGAAAATATAATTTAAAATTTTCCTAAAATATAACCACTATACAAGAGTATGTTTACAATGAATTCGAGTTGTTTCACTAGGTGACAACTGTCGTCGATTTAAGGTATGTTGAACTTCATTCATTGTAGATTGTGTCGCATGTGTCGGATGTTGTTTTGATGTTGATAACGATGATAATGGCAAAGATTGATGGGATAGTGGTGGACGATTCGGCAGTATACCGGAACGATCTTCACTAATATTTACTCGCATCAAAAATTGCTGCAATAAGGTATCAGTTTGAACAGCTTCCTGAAATTATCATTAGAAAAAAGCTTTTTTTTTTTTTTTCTTTTTTAAGGAATGAAAATGAGTGTAGTAAAATTAAAAGGTCTTATTAAAATGATTAAATTTGAAAGGAATTATAAATTCTATTAAACGAATAAATTCTTTAATTAAGAAAGTTATATTCTATTAAAACAGGTAAATTCTTTAATTAAGAAAGTTATATTCTATTAAAACAGGTAAATTCTTTAATTAAGAAATTTATGTATAACTAAGCAATTTAAAAAGCTCAACCAGGTATACTTTATTTGAATTCGATCAAAATTTCATGACCGAAAATTAAAAAATTCATTCTTTAAATCATAATATTCTTGTACACTTATTCAATCTTTCTAATATATCATCGCATCAGTTGAATTAAAATTATTCTAATTTATTTTATTTAATAAAATAAATATTTTTTGAAATTAAAATACCTGAGTATTTGATGCTCGTGCATAATATGGTATTGCATAATGGATTGGTTTTTTGTGCTGAAATTCGATTTTTTTTTAAAAAAAGAAAAAAAGATCTTTTAAAAAGATCATAAAAAAAAAAAACAAATGTAATTAAATTATATCAATATTTTTCAGCATAAAAAAAAATAAAATATTAATGAAAGTTAATTTTTATATGAAATAAATTTTACCCTTTGGAAATGCTTTCCATGTGATGTGACACATTCTGAATCAGTATAGTACAATCTTGGATCATCATCAACAACAACCATTCGAGATTCTGAATCACTTGATAACTGAGGTCTTTCTAGCACTTCCGAATTATGCCATTTCGGTTTTGCTTCATGAAGAAAAACTCGTGCTTCCACTTTACCCAATTTAATTTGCGGATTGATTTTACTCATTGGCAAATTTCGATTTCCATCATTTAATTTCTTTTTACATTCCGTATTAGTATCGGATGTCGCTGCCGAAATATGTATTTCCGGATGCACAACAATACTTGTATCATTTGGCTTCAATTCTTGGGCAATTTCATCTTGTCCTACTTTTTGTCTTACATCTGATTTTAATTTGCCATATCTATTTTCTTCGTCGTTCCTGCAAAATTCCAGAATATCTGCTGCACAAAGACTGACGAATCTTTTTTTTTTTTTAAATAAAGATATGTATAAGTGCAAAATTTAAATTTTCACTTTTCAAAATTTAAATTCTTTTTTCTTACCTATTATGTTCTTCCAATTTTAGAGTACCAGTAATATCATTAAATTCATCTTCTGCTTCTATTTCACTTTCAGAATATATTGTCGGTGATAATGTTTGCATTTCCATTAATGGTGACATCATTGCATTTGCATAACTAAACTACTAATTTAATTAATTAATCTAATTAATTAATTTTTCTTAATAAATTATTTCAATTCAGACATAAAAGAAATTCAGACTCTTTCTTTCTTTCTTCTTTTTTGAACAAATTATTCTTACCTACTGTATGGATCGGCGTACGAGAAGCGTGGATCTGATACATTTGACGTATCATCATATTCTCGATTTTCAACTTCTTTTGATGATTGATGGAATGAATCATCGTTTGCAAATGATTTATGATTTTGATTTTGTTGATCTTGGATTTGATGACTGTAATTATTCTCATTGAAATTATCAATAATTTAATTGATTAGATTAAATGATATAATTTTTTGAATGATTTAAATAAGTTAATAATTCCAATCGATAATTTTTTTTTTAGTTGCTGAATTATATGACAAATTTAATTTTTAACATTAGCAATGTTAGATCATATGATTTGCATATTTATTTAATAATTAAAAATGAATGTAAGCAGAAATAGTCAATTTACTGAAACAATAACTATTAGCTAGCAGAAATAATCAAATTACTGAAACAACAACTATTAGCTAGCAGAAATAATCAAATTACTGAAACAATAACTATTAGCTAGCAGAAATAATCAAATTACTGAAACAATAACTATTAGCTAGCAGAAATAATCAAATTACTGAAACAATAACTATTAGCTAGCAGAAATAATCAATTTTACTGAAACAATAACTATTAGCTGGCAGAAACAATCAATTTACTGAAACAATAACTATTGGCTAGCAGAAATAATCAAATTACTGAAACAATAATATAATACAGAGAGTCTTTTGCTGATAAGCATAAGTCTGCATGAATTTGAATTTACCTGTCATTATCATTTGCAGGTTTAATTAATGAGACAGTCTGTTCCATTAAAGTTTCGTGATACTGTGGTACTGATAAATCTTCTAATACCATTTGCTTTTTAATTTGCTTTCCATTACTAAAAGTTTTGGAATGTTAAAAAATTATTTAAAAAAAAAAAAAAAATTAATGTTTTAGATATAATAATATTTGCATCAATAATGAATAACATAAATGCTTTTTCGTTATTTCTTTTTTTTTTTTAAAAAAAAAGCTTTTTAGGAAATAATTTAACATTCAATGGTTTATCATAAATATTCTTAATCATTGGCTACAAATTTCTGATAATATTATCAATTATTAAATAAGGTATAAAATTGCTACAAAATCAATGAACGAAACATTGTTATTATATTTTTAGCTAATTTTATTTATTGCATTTACTTTAGTTTGCTCAGCAAATCTGTTATGATAAGATTTTGATAGCTAGAAAAATCATTTAATAGCTTAAGTATTTCGATTAAACCAAATTTTTAAATTTAACTTTTTTTTTTTGAAAATTTAAAATAAATAATAGTTTTACTTTTTAGTAGTGAAAAAACCGTTTCGATTACTTTTTATTTCATTATCATCTTCTCCAATTAATTTTTCTGATGAAGGACTGAAATATTAATTAATTTTTGATTACCAATAAAACATTCATTAAATGATCGATTAAAAATTATTCCAAGTATTTTAAACAATCTTTTTCTCTCTAAAAATCAATAACAATAAGGTTGCTAATTTAAAAGAAAAAGAAAATTAAATATTACTAATCTTTAAAATGAAATTCTTTTTTTTTTTTTTATCAGTGATTGATTAAAGCAAATAATTTTAATAATAAACAATTATTTTAACCAGCTATGTAAACATGATTCGGTAATGGATGTCATCGAACGTTGGTCATCCGATGTTGCTGATTTTCTGGCACATATGAATGATTCATTTCCGGATTCAATATCATTTTGATTATATCGTAGACGATTTTTTCTTGCTCTTAAAAAAAAAAAAAGGAGAATTAAAATTTTGCTAATCGAATTTTTCATAAATTCTTTTTTAGTTTATTTAATGAATACAATCTTAATTTAATAAATATCACCTTTATATACTTTTACTTGTTCCGTTTTTTTTTTTTTTTTTTGTAATTTAACTGAATTTGTCTAACTGATCTTTTTTTTTAAAAAAAAGTATGAACTTATTGACCTATTGGAATTTTTATTTAAACCAAGCCAAGTTATAATTTTTTGCTTCCAACCACGTTTCACTTCAATCATTTCGTTTTTTTCATCGTCTTTTTGATGTTTTTTCAGTTTCTGTTCCGGTTCTTCCTCTTCTGATTCCGAATGTTCCGCTTCGCTAACACTTCTAAATGATGCCTTCTTTGATGGTTACATTTTAAAATTTAATCTCTTTCAAATTTAAATATAAACTGTCAATTACTAAATATTAAATTAATATTTTCCGGACATTCATCGAATAAATGGTTATAATATGAATGAATTATCAAATAATCCTAAGTATCTCAATGAAATATAAATTTGGCATTCATTGAAAAAAGAAAATTAATAAATAAATAAATAAATAAATTTAGCATTCATTCGCATAAGTTTAATTCAATATTTAATCAATAATTCTGATAGATCTTATCATCTAATCATATCACTGAAGCATTATTATAACATACGCATTTGTTATGACTTACTTTAATGAGGGAACATAACTGTGTAAATCCTTATTACTTCTTTTATGCGATTTATCTGATAAAATTTCATCCTCCTAAAATTTCAATTTTGATTTATGATTTTTGATTACATTATTTGATTATTTTTTTCTTAAAACTATTAAAATGAAGCAAATTAAAGAAAAAAAAATATTAAATATAATACAAAATAAGTATTCATTCTATGCAATAAAAGATGTAAATACTTGCTAACATAATATAACTTAAAATATAGTCTTCAAAAAAATATAAAATAAAATAATTAAATGTAATTATGCAAATATAACTTAAAAAAAAAAAAAATTAACCAAAATATTATTAGTTTTATTTGTTGTATTATTACTATCACTGGCAATTAAAGAAGAATGTTGAATTTCTTGATTATTAGAAATTTGACGTTTCTTTCCACCACCAGCCAATTCGAAAATTCGTTTTTTTTCTTCTGTTCTTTCCTAAAAAATTTTTAGTCTTAAAAATGAAATAAAACAAATGTCGAAAGTTAAGAAAAAAAAAACGAAAAACTCTTTCATTTCTACTTTTTTTTTCTGTTTTGTTACTCAAATAGATACTAAAGGAATTGTAAGCGTAATTTGATATATTTGAAAATGAAAAACATTTAAATTTTTATTTGAAACAATAAAAGATACATTATAGTTAAGTAAAAAAATGGACAAAAAAAACTAAAGTAAAATGAAAGTATAAGTAATAAAGTAATAAACATACATGTAATAATTGCTTGGTGAGATCCGTATTTGCTTCACGTAAACCACGTACCAGAGCAAAAAGGAAATATATTGTTAAAAGAAGAAGTAATAAAACTGGAATAACAATACCCGGTGATATCATATATCTGATCGCATCAACAAGACCTTTTGTTAAATTACGATCAAGCAATTGAACAATTACACTATAGAAACGTTCTTGACTTCTAAAAAAAAAAAAAAAAAAAAAATTATTTTGTAGTTTGTGAAAAAAAGCAAAAAACTTTTAAACATTAACAATTTAATTGATTAAATTTGAAGAATTTCAAAAGTATTTTCAAAATAATGAATAAAATTTGAATGAGAAAAGTAGCAAATTTTTAAATGGAAAAAAAAAATTTGTTTTTAGATGTTAAATTTCAAATTCGTTTTTTTTTAATCTTTTAAATGTCCAATTTTTTTTTTCAAATCTCTGATCATATCAACAAAACCTAAATTTTAAAATTATTGGTGGGGAAAAAAAAAAAGAAAACGAATTAAAACAAACCCAAATGGACCGCAAATTTTAGATGGTTTTTTTGAAGCGATTACATAACCAACCGGAAGTGTACAAAGAAATAACATAAGTAATAATAGCATTAAATAAAAATTACTTGACCTGAAAAAAAAATAATAATAATAGAAATTTTTGAAGTTACAAAAAAAAAGTAAAATAAATTGATTCATATAATGTAAAAATTTATGAATTTATAAATTTCATACAATATTTTATTGTTCCAGTAAAAAAAATTCAACAAAATATATCATAAATTCAAATTCAAATTCAAAAAAAAAAGGAAGAATTAAAATTTTGAATTTCATACAATATTTAATTGCTGCAGTAAAAAAAATTCAACAAAATATATCGTAAATTCAAATTCAAATTCAAAAAAAAAGGAAGAATTAAAATTTTGAATTTCATACAATATTTAATTGCTGCAGTAAAAAAAAATTCAACAAAATATATCATAAATTCAAATTTAAAAAAAAAAAAAAATAAAATAAAATTTTGCAAATTATTTCGACAAAATGGTTTTTTTTTTGAGTATTTATTGTAAATTAATAATTTTTTTAAATTTTAAATTAAATTATCATACCTGGAAGCACGAAATATTTGCCGAGCTGGCACATTACAAGTCATCACAGCCCAACCTCGAATATACATTAGAATAATTAATTTAATATTATTAATTGCTGGTAGCATAGGAACAAAAAATAAACCCAACCATATCATTCCTTGATTATTTACCAAATGTAACACATTTTCAGCAACTTTAAATTCACCATATTCTGGCTGAAAATATTATTAAAAAAAAAAAATTTTTTTTTTAAATAATTTTTTAAAAAAATTGATAATTTATTTTTTTTGTTTAAATATTGATAAGAATAAAAAAAAAAAAACGCACAAATGTTGTTTCCAAATTCCAAAACCACCAAATATTGGTGTATCGAACCCAAAGAGCTCGAAAAAAATCGATCACCAAAATGGATGCAATTGTCATCACCAAATCAGTTGTCACCAATTTTGTTATTTCCTTTAATTTTTTTTTTTTTAAATTAAATGAAATTTCTGAATAAATATTATTTTATTTTTAATTATTCTATACTTATAATTTAAGCGATATTTTATTTTGTTTATTTGATCACTGTAAAATATTCAAATTTTATTTCTTTTATTGCAGTGAATATTTTTTTCATTTCAACTACCTTTTTAAATCATTTATATCATTTAGAATTAGTAATAATTAAAATAATCAATAATCATTTTAATATTGCAATAATATGCAAATAAAAGTTACTAATAAAGATAATGATAATGCACTAATGATAATAATTAGTAGAATAATAGATGATTTTAAAAAAAAAAAGAAAATGATTTTAAAATATATTATTTTAATAAAAATATGACTTTAACAAGTTACTTACCTAATTTTAATGGTAATTATGATAATGAAAAACGAAAATGATTTTAAAATATATAATTTTAATAAAAATATGACTTTAACAAGTTACTTACCTAATTTTAATGGTAATTATGATAATGAAAAACGAAAATGATTTTAAAATATATAATTTTAATAAAAATATGACTTTAACAAGTTACTTACCTAATTTTAATGGTAATTATGATAATGAAAAACGAAAATGATTTTAAAATATATAATTTTAATAAAAATATGACTTTAACAAGTTACTTACCTAATTTTAATGGTAATTATGATAATGAAAAACGAAAATGATTTTAAAATATATTATTTTAATAAAAATATGACTTTAACAAGTTACTTACCTAATTTTAATGATATTATAATAACAAAAAAAAAAAAAGAAATCTAACAAACCTCTCCGATAAGATTTTCCCAACATTCCTCATACCAATCCGTGGACAAACGAGCTGCTGACAAAACCGCTTGTACGGTAGTGGAATAATTTAGAAATGTTGGTTTAGCGGAAATATTTTTGTCCAATCAGTGTTACCAATTGGATATGCAACAAACGTACTTGCATTCATAATACCACGTCGATTTTCACTTACAACAGCTTTTGGATTTGTGATACCAAGTGGACCAAAGTTTGGAAAAACCTTGAAAAGTGATAATGATTTATAGAATCATGATAAAAAAATCATTATAATCATTTTAGAACAATATGTGAAACAATAAGTAATAATATGTAAAACAATAAGCATTCAGTAATATTAAAAAATAATATGTGAAACAATAAGCAAAAAAAATAATATGTGAAACAATAAAAAATAAAAAAAAAAATAATATGTGAAACAATAAAAAATAAAAAAAAAAATAATATGTGAAACAATAAAAAATAATATGCGAAACAATAAGTATTTAGTAATAATAAAAATGTAAAATTATGATATAATAATAGGTATAATCATGCTAGAAATGCTATAATTATTGCATTATAACTATACTAACCAATTATTTTTTTATAGATTTACTTGCTAAAAAAATTTCGATGTAATTCTAATAAAAATATTACTGTTATTTTAATTACTCACTAAAATACAACTATTTTTATATTTTATCATTAAAAAAACGCCTGCATTTGTTGATAGAATAATTTATGCATAATTGTAAATTTAATTAAAACTAAAAAAGTAATACTGTTAAGAATTCAGCTATAAATCATAATAATCATGACAATAATAATTCTCGCAAAATTATAAATGATAATTATAATTATTATATATAGTTTTCAAAAAAAAAAAGATGATAAAGTATGAAATTGGAAGAATAATAGAAATTAAACTAATTTTTTTTTGTAAATAATATCAAGAATAATTGTGATATAATTAGTTCTTACAGTTGTCCATGATTTGCCAGGAGATGGCGTTGTTGGAATGTCAATGAATTTACTACGATTGAAAAGTGATGACGCAACAGATGGAAAATCGAATACCACTTGACGACCACTTCTGATAATAAATATTCAATTTATAGTATTTCAATTATTTAATTTCATTATTTTCAGTGAATTTTAAAAAGAAACATTAAGAAAGTGCATAATAATAACAATATTAATAATAACAATAATAATATAAGTATTATAATATTTGATGACCAGCACTGATAATAAATAATATAAATATTATTATTAAAGCAAAAAAGAAAGATTCAATTAATAGCATTTCAATTATTTAATTTCATTGTTTTCAATGAATTTCAAAAAGAAAGTTTAAGAAAGTGCATAATAATGTTATAAGTATTACATAATATAAGTATATAATATACAATATTAATATAATTTGGTTATAACATATTAAAATAATTTTTTTAAATAAAATTTCTTTTTTAAATTTTACTTTTTGAATAAAAATAATTTTAAATTTTTTAATTAATTGCGTTGACTTTTCATTAAAATGATTTAATTATGGAAATAATATATTTATTACATTAAGAAAGTACAATAACAATGCCAAATCATTTGTATGATCAAATTACCGATCATTTTTCTTTATTCTTCATACTAATGAAAAATTGATTGATTGTAAAGTTATAAATTATTTGCAGTGTTCAAATTATTTTTACTAATGCATTATCTTAAAATATTTTTTAAATAATTTAAAAATTATTCCATCAAAAGAAGTTCATAAATGAAGTCTTATTAAATACAAATTTGAAATTAATAATTTTAAGTTAAAAAAAAAGACAAAGAAACAAAAACAACAAAACATTAACAAAAATAGATGACACTTAAATATTTCGAATTTAAAATTAGTTTTTGAAAAAAAAAAAAAACAGAAAGAAGAATATAAATTAAAATGAACCGTTGTTTAATAAATTGATTATAGGAAGTGTTGTAAACCGGTGCCTTATTATGATGATAATCGGAAGAATACTGTGCAACCGGAATAAGACGTTCACCAACGTTTCGTTGACTTTCCATTGTATTCAACATAAACATCAATGAAATAATAAGAGTATAATAATTCAATATGTAGAGGAATAAAACCCTGAAATAATTAATCTGATAAAAAAAAAAAAAAAAACTCTGATAAATCTGATAAAAAAAAACTCTCATAAATCTGATAAAAAAAACTCTGATAAATCTGATAAAAAAAAACTCTGATAAAAAAACAATCACTATTAAATCTAATAATTTTAATTAATAAAGAAAAATTAATTTTTAGTAATGAAAAAAATTATCAGCAATTAAAATTTAAAATAGGAAAAACTATTGAAATTATCAATTATTATCAATAATCAAAGAGATACAAACAGCATATAACATTTCATTCTTGCTTTAATGCAAATATTTAGTATTATTATACGTCGAAAGTTTAATATATTATATTCAATCGATTTGTAGGACAAAACTAAGATCAAATTATAGTAGTATAGGTAATAGTCTTAAGATTATAGTATAAGTAATACTTGTAGTATAAGTAATTCTTTCATCTGATACTTTAGATAAAAATAAATAAAATTTGATCAAACAATACGATACCTTCCTAATTGTAGTCGAAGAGCAGTTCGTGGATGATAACGTTCCATTTTACTGATGAGATCGAAAAAATTTGGAAATGTTAAAGTGATAAATGAGACCGTTATTGATACAGCATTCTAAAATGAATTCGATCAATTATTTAATAATAATTTAAATTTCAAAATTTCAAAAAAAAAAAAAATTTACAGAAATTATTTTTTTATAATATTATTATAAATAAAAAATTAGGATGAATTTTTTTTTTTTTTGTTTTATCATTTATGCTTGTAAAAATTAAAAATATAAATTTATTTAATTCAATTTTATAAATTTAATTTTAATTGAAAATTTTATAGAAGTTACCCGCTGTATGAAACTTGTTTTTGTTGTAATTTGACTAACAGCAAGAATAGCCCATACTGATCCAGCTTGCATCGCAAACACTAATATATTTGCTAAGACACGAAGAGTAAATTGAAGAAAGCTATAAAAAAAAAAAACAAAACAAAAAAAGAAAAAAAATTAATAAAATAATTTTTGTTATTTAATTTTTCATAAAAAAAAAAATAAAATTTAATTATTTAGAAAATTGGAAAATTTTTTTTGCAAATTTTTTAAATTGTAATTTTAGGAAAAAATTTTTAAATGATCGCACATTTTCTTCTTTTTTTTTAAATGATTGCTTGATTATCGGAAAATTTTAGATTCATAGCAAATATAAATTGCAAAATCAAATGAAATAAAAGTTTAGTGATATGATTCAAATTATCACTGATATCATTTGATCTATAGAATTTCCTTCTGATTATCATTTGTTGCTTATCATTCGTTTCTTCTAGTTTTTATTGAGCATATCTATTGTTTATTTTGAAAGATAAACAAACATACACTATTTATTTAAAATATATATTATACAATGCAAATAAATTAAATGACGTATTTCACGTATTTCACTTAAGATAAGTGAAAAGAAAAAAAAGAATAATATTGATTAATAAATACTTACTCGAATTTTTTTGTACGGTTTACATTGTATTCAGCAATTATTTCCTGCAAAAATACTTCAAATTAGTTAAATAAATCCAATTTCAAACGATTAATTCTAATCAAAGTTCATTAAATTTAATTAAATTTAAATTCAGAATGCAAAATTTGTAATTTTAGAAAATCAAAATTTTAGAAAATTAAAACAAAACAAACAAACAAACAAACACAAATGCAATATAACATACTCGAAATTTGTTAACATTAGCCATTACAAAGTTCGAAGCAGTTTCCGCATTTCCGATTGAGTAATCCCAACCGGCAAATAATTTCCAGTTAAATACATATTGCTCCGCTTTACCACCGGAAAGCTTACTTTGTCGAGCATTTGATGCCATCCTGAAAAACATTCCTTAATTTTTTTCTCTAAACTATTGCTACATTCAAATATCTATTAAAAATTCTTACACTAAAACCGGTCATGAAACTATTTCCGGTCACAATTTATGAAAAATATAAGAAATTATTTTTATGAACTTTTTGAAAATTATTCTGTCTTTAAAGTTAAAATTAAAAAAAAGAAAAAAATTAGTTTGATGAATTTGCATAAAAAAAATAAAATAAATTAAAAAAAATTAAAATAGTATAAAACTTACTTTTGTAAAATAATAAAAAACTGTAACCGAGAATAAATAAATTTACAATAAAATATGCAACAGGTACACTGTATTGCACCGTATCACCGAAATATGTTTCACTGCTATAGTAGCCATAAAATAACAATGAATACTCGAAATAGCCCTAAAATGAAATTTAATTAAGAAAGAAAAATTTGAAAAAAGAAAAATCTAGTAAATAACGTTAAAAAATTTTAGTATTAATTTTATTTTATAATTTTAGTATAGTATTTTAATATTAATTTTATTTTATAATTTTAATATTAATTTCATTTTATAATTTTAGTATAGTATTTTAATATTAATTTCATTTTATAATTTTAGTATACTATTTTAGTATTAATTTTATTTTATAATTTTAGTATAGTATTTTAGTATTGATTTTATTTTATAATTTTATTATTAATTTCATTTTATAATTTTAGTATAGCATTAAATAGAAAAAGAGTTAAATTCATTTTACAATTATTCTAATTTATTTGGAATCAAGTCATTCAATTTTTTTAAAAAATATATAGTTTGCTTTTTTTAAACACTCTTACATTCCATTATTATTATTATTGCTATTATTATTATTATTATTGTTATTATTATTATTATTATTTGAATGGTTCACCTTAGTGATAATATCATTTAAATCATAATAAATTATCAGTAACTTCAGTGATCTAAAGTGATCTTTTGATTTTAATTCCTTTCTAATTGAATACTATATGAATTTCATTAGTTTATAAATAATAATAAAACAATATATTTTATTAAAATAATAATGCGATAATGCATGCATAACATTTTTGTCAACGATTTTTACAACAATATTATTGAACAAATATTTTTTGAAAATATTTTCAAAATTAGTTTTAGTAGAAAATGCAAATTTATTTGTCATTGACAGATTAACAAAACTCAGTAATTAATTTTATTAATACTTTTTTGACAATTTGTTAATTAATATTTTTCCTTTTAACTTTTATAGCAATTTTTTGTCTAAAAGAAAAAAAAAAACGAATACTTTAATAAAAAATACTTACTTTAAAATCAAGAACAGTATTCAACTCATCAGCTCGTGGTATATCTTTCTCTTTCATAACTTTAATATGATACGTTCGATTAAATCGTTCTGGGCCACCTCGAGAATCTGCTAACCACTAAACAAATCCTTTTTTTTTCACTAATATAATAAATATTTTATAAAATTTATCATTTTAGATAAGCAATAATTGCTACTAAAATAATTTACATAAAATTTTTATAAGAAATTAGTGACAAAAATTTAATGTAATATAAAATTTTAACAAAGTTTTCAAAAAGGAAAAAAAAAGAGAAACTTATATTTTCAGCTTTTAAATTGTTAATTTTAATAATTTTTTAACTTTGTTCAAAGCACTTAAATTTATTTTAGAAAAAACTTCACAATTGTTTAAACATATAAATTGAAATAAGCAAACTTTCATTATTGATAAGGTTTGCATGCTTAATCACGTTCACGTTACGATCACGTTTTTCAAGCAAACTTACGTGAATTATATTTGAAAAGTAAAATAAACCTTAGCATTTATAAATTTATTATATCATTCATTTATCGAAAGTATACTTACCTCTGGAATGGTAACAAACAACATCATTATTATTGTCATAGTAATGTTTACACTAAGAATCCATCGTAAGAATGTAAAATAAGATGAAACTACAGAACCATAATGACCTAAAATAAATATGCAAATTATCAATTTAAACTTCGAAAATGATAAATACAAAAAATTTAATTAATAATATAAAATTCACTATGCATTCAAAGGTTTCAAGAAGTTTCTTTTTTGATTCAATCGTTTATGTGAAAATCTTGGAGGAAATTGTTGTATTCTAAAAATTTATTTCACTAATTTTAGCATTTCAACAAAAAAAAAAATCTTTGATAGAAAACAAAAAAATTATAATCATAATTAATTAGAATATAGAATATAATAGAAAATAAAGAAAAAACTAATTAATTAGAATAATTAATTAAATTAAATTAACCTACTCTCGATTGTTTTAATTTTTGCTTCCCATGGTATTAAATAAATTTTCATATTACTACACCAACGGCCAAATGCTGTCCATTGCCTGGTTGCTTCTACTTTATACAGATGCCATCGTGATACTTTTGATTGTTGACGTTTTAGATATCGTCTTGCTACTCTAAAAAAATTTCTTTTAAAATTTAAATTTATATTCATATACTGTAATGAATTTTAGACATTTAATTTTATTAATTATTTTATATGTTTTAACAATTTAATATAATTATTTCTAATTTTTTATTGAAAATAAATTTTATACTTTATAAAGTTTTTTTTTTTTTCAATAAATTCAAATGAAGAAGTGATGAATGATTAATTTTGCATACTTTAGGGCACGTCTTTTCCGCTTCATACTCCACGGTTGACTTCGTAAACGGATAATTGCTTCCTTTTTTGACGTATCGTTTCCAGTACCCATCCTTTTGACATCTGTTTCGGATCTTCTTCCTCTTCCTCATTTTCATCCCTGTAAAAATTTTCATTTTTTAATATTAATCATTGTCTATTATCATTTCAGGCTGTGGATGCTATAAGATTCAAAAAAAAAAATTATTTAAGTGATTAAAAAAAAAAAAAAAATTGAGGTTAAAAGTTTGATAAGAATTTGACAACAAACATGCAATTATAAATTAAAATAATAATAGATTAAAATATACTCGAATGAATTAATTATAAATTAAAATTTCAATGAATTAATCATAAATTAGAATATACTTGAATCATATATCAGAGCAACAGAAAAGGGAACACTACATTCTAAAATTTTATTCATTAATTCATTTTTATTAAATTTTGATGAATTAATTAATTAAGTTCGTTTTTCTTTTTTAATTGTTTGCATTTTGGCTTAAGAGCAATCACTGGATTTTTTCAATGATTTCTTAAATATGCAATAATATATTTGAAATGAATTTTAGACACTTTTAACATATCACAGAATCTCTTTTAAATTTTAAAAATTAATAAATTTGAACTTTGAAAATTAATAAATTTTGATACAAATCGTTTAATTAATATAAAACACAAATATATGAAATTTTATATTAATGAAATCGATCTGTGCTAAATTAATTTTAATTTTTATTACTACCAAAATTTGCTTATAATTAATTAAAAATTGCAGTAAAAAATATAAGTAAAAAACAAAAAATAAAGAATAAAACTAACTGTGTTCCAGTGAACTGTCCAGGAAGACGAATTGGTTTAACAGTGTTTGAAGAAGATCGTTGAAAAAGTGAAATTAAATCGACCTAAAAATATATGCAAAATTCATCGATAATTTTTGAGAAAAAAAAAAAGAAATTTTATTAGAAATTTATTTATTTATCAGTAATTTATCAAAATTGATAAATTAAAGTTTAGTAAAATATTAATTAAATTTTTTTATTTCATCTCTTTTCTTTTTTTTTTTTAAAAAACTAATTCTAAAATAAAAAAAAAAAAAAAAAAAAAAAAAAACAATGTGACAAAATTTTTACAAGGAGGGAAGATCGACGAGAAAGCCGTACAGCAGACGATGATTCATCATCAACAGATTCCGGAATACGTTCAGCTGACTGACTGAGTGCGGTACGTTCATCTGAATCGAAATTTTCCGCATCATTTTTTCTAAACTTTCTCAATGCTTGTTGATAAAGCTTCCGGCCAGCTTCTAATGCTTCAGTACAACAACGATGCATCGATTGGCTAACACGTCTCACTGAATTATTATACGTAAAAAAACACGTCTCACTGAATTATTATACGTAAAATGAACACGTCTCACTTATACGTAATTTCTTAACCTTAATTATTAATTTATGCAATCAATCAAAAAAAAAAAAATTTTCTTCTCTTTTGCATCATAAACTTCCTAAATATATAATAAAAATTTTTACAAGAAAATTGAAAATTTTCAAATTCAAAAAAAAATTTCAAAAAAAAAAAACTAAGAAAAGAAAAGTGCAAAATTTTCATTACTAATATTATTTCATTTCAATTTTCTCCTTCTATCTTTTCATTTTAATAAAATTTTAATAAAAATTTGATAAAATTATTTTAATAAAATTTACTAACCTTTTAGGAGGATAGTTTCAGGCAACAAATAACAATTGCAAAGATGGCCTGAACTGTAGAATTGTTGAAAATTTGCATTTATTTTTTGTTGTAAAATAATTGCTGATAAAATGTAATTCGACCACCAAAAAGGCAATAATTAGTTTTAAAATTGCCAAATAATTGTTCATTATCACTTTATCATTTGGTGATATCATTATCCATTATCATTTTATCATTTGGTGATATCATTATCCATTATCACTTTATCATTTAGTGATATCGAACGGTTATTATAGTGACTATTCAGTACAATAAATGTAAGTAGTTATCATAAAAGTATGATTATGCATCAAACAGGCCAATTAAAAATTAATAAAATGCTCATTTCGCTTATTCGTCAAAAATTTCACGTATGACCTGAAATTATTTTACAATAATGCAATTATTTTACGTCAAAATTTTCACGTATGACATAAAATTATTTCATGACAATGTAATTATTTTACGTCAAAAATTTCACGTATGGCCTGAAATTATTTCATGATAATGCGATTATTTTACGTCAAAAATTTCACGCATGACCTGAAATTATTTTATAATACAATTATGCAGTTATTTTAGGAATAATGTCATATTGTAATTGTGCACTATAGCATAAGTATAATTTAGAAAAATGAAATTTGAATAATTTATAACAAATTAACAAAATTGCTTAAATTGAATTAAAATGCAAATTGATTTAATTTTTAGTCATGCAAATGCTAGCATAAAAATTTTTTGAAATATGTCATATTTATTCGTACAAAACTTATTCTAAATATTATAAAATTTTTTGTAAAATAACAAAAAGAATTGAAAAATAAATTTTGCATTATTTATTCTTTTTCAGTTCTAAATTTTAAATATTTAATAATTGAAATTAATTTTTGAAAAAAAAAAAAAAAAAAAAAACAACCCTACCATGCGATTGTAGTGTATGTGTATGTTTGTGTATGTGTGTGTGTGTGTGTATGTGTGTGTATGTGTGTGTTGTCTGTCTATTTTGTGTTGATACGACCTAAGGATGAATTTTATTTTCTTTTTCGTTATTTGAATGCCAACTGTTGAAAGTGTATTTTATAAAAATTCCTTTCTCTTTCTCGCCCTCTCTCTACCTCTCTCTCTCTCTCTCCCTTTTCCCTCTTAGTTTTTCTTTTGTAACTTAGTTTAGACATTTCAATGTTACTTTCTTTAAATTATTTTAACATTTACAAATTACTTCACTTCGATATCATAAAGTTCAATTATTGTGGAAGCAAAAAAAAAAATTGATTGATTGATTAACTGATCGATCGATTGACTGATCAATTGATTGATGAAAAAAGTTTCCAAATGTCCAGGAATGTAAAAAAAAAAGGAAGAAAATATAAATGAAAGAAAATTTTTAACTAAAAACATTTATATTTTTAAATGATAAAATATCATGTGATTATTTACTGATTAAATATTTTGTTATATAAATAATCATTGTTTATTTGTGTAGCAAATATTTACAAAAATAAATAAACAAAATCTTTTGCTCATTTTTTGCTAACCAAAACATAGAACTAATTGTTAAGTATGAAAAGACAAAAAATAAAAAAAAAATAAAATAAACAATAATATAAATTATTAACGATAAGAAATTTTAAATTTAAAGCAAATGTTTTGTGATTTATCAATAAATAAAATCTTGACAACTGAAATTAATTAATCATTTTGCAAAAGTTTTGTTTAGTAAAAACAAAAAGAAAAACAAAGTGAAAAAAAAAAAAGATAAAAGGTATGTATGAAGACTGAAAGAAATATTTAAACAATGGTCAAAATTTCATTTCAACTCATTTTTTTTTTTAAAAATATTTAAAATAAACAAATGAATTATTATAATGGAAAATGTTTTTTTTTTTTTTTTTTGAGATAAATTTGATTGAGAAATGGATGAAATAAATTTGACATTTTTTTTTCTATTATTATTGTCAAATGATTTCAATTTAAACATTAAATTATGTTAATTTAAAAATGCCTAATAGTAATAAAATCTGTAAAAAATTTCACTATTAATTTTAATTTTAATCTACGAATTAATGAAGTAATTTTTTTTTGAATTAATTAAAACAAAATTGATTGCTATTTATAGAAGTATTAATGACAAAATGAAATCAAATAGAATAACAAAATTTGAGCAAAGAAATTATCATAATTAATTTCAACAATTTATTAAATAATTTTAATTTTAATCTACTAATTAATGAAGTAATTTTTTTTTGAATTAATTAAAACAAAATTGATTGTTTATTACAGAATAATTAATATGAATAGTTAATTATAGAAATATTAATGACAAAATGAAATCAAATTGAATAACAAAATTTGAACGAAGAAATTATCATAATTAATTTCAACAATTTATTAAATAATTTTAATTTTAATCTACGAATTAATGAAGTAATTTTTTTTTGAATTAATTAAAACAAAATTGATTGTTTATTATAGAATAATTAATATGAATAGTTAATTATAGAAATATTAATGACAAAATGAAATCAAATTGAATAACAAAATTTGAACGAAGAAATTATCATAATTAATTTCAACAATTTATTAAATAATTTTAATTTTAATCTACGAATTAATGAAGTAATTTTTTTTTTGAATTAATTAAAACAAAATTGATTGTTTATTATAGAATAATTAATATGAATAGTTAATTATAGAAATATTAATGACAAAATGAAATCAAATTGAATAACAAAATTTGAACGAATAAATTATCATAATTAATCTTAACAATTTATTAAATATTTCAGTTTACAATTTAAAATTTCAACTGCTCATATGCTCATCTCAACAAAAATATATTAACGATCAAAGAGAATTTTTTTTTTTTCTTTATCCATTACTATTTGCTCTGTAACAAATGATCTATACAAAATTTTAAAAGTTATCAATAAAATACTAAAATTCAATCTTTGTTCCTTATCATTATCTTTCATTGTATAATTAATTATCACTAATTGATTACTGCTATCGTTATCATTTAAATTATTTATCTTTTTTTTTTTTTTGTTAGCATATTTCTTACAAATGCATTACTTATTATTACAATTATTACACAATATTGCAAATATGAGATAAATTAATGATATTATTTAATAAATGAAATAAAATAGTGAAAAATTAAAATTTAATTAATGCATCTTTTAATTAAATTGAATTATAATATATTAAAATATATAGTGAAGAAGTGCTAAATATTTGAAAAGGTATGGCATTTGATGATCGAAGACAACTGTTTATATCTGAATCATTTATCAATTTTATCTCTTCCATCTCATTTAAACTATTTGATAGCAATTTAGTTTG